CTTGTAGCGACACGTCTTTAGTAAGCGCGTAGAGGTGGCGCTTCGCATGGTAGCGGAGCCCTGTACGGTGGGCTGTAGCAATGTACGATCCAGGATCGCCGACGAGAGCAGAGTTAGGACTCGCGCAGGTAAGACAGCAACAGGAGCAGGCAGCGGAAATACCGGTAGCATCACCACCTAGTTCCGGGAACCGAAGTAGTGGCAAAGGATCGTTTCACGGACAGGAAGTGCCCAGGATGCCAGGTGTAGGTTGGTCGTCAGGTAGTAGTGGAAGTAATGTTCAGCATCAGCAGCAGGTTCCTAGGTCGTCAGGCTTTGCGACGCAGCCAGGATTCCCATTTCAGCAGACAGGCATGTATCCACAAGGCGCTAGGGGCTGTAATGGCGTGCAGCAGCAGCAGCATCAGTATTCGCAACAAGGATTCGGTGGACAGGCGTGTATACCTCCGAATGTAGCACACCCATGTATGACACCACACCAGTGTATGCCATGTGTGAATATGGGCATGAGTGCATGTGCACCAATGAGTCATGCGCAAACGAGTGTGCAGGATGTGTTGAATCTTTCCAGTTCTTTGTCATTTGCACAGGTTTTGCAGTTGACTCAGTTCTTGCAGGAACAGATACGTACACGACAGCAGTCGCCAGAGATGTTTGGACAGATTCCCGCGGTGCGCTCAGATCCATTTGTTCCGGACCTTCAGGCAGCGGGCTTACCTTTACCTAGTGTGAGTATGCAGCAACCAGGAACTCAAAGAGGAAATGTAGGTAATGGTAATGGAAATCAACCAGTTGATGTGTTTGCAAAATCTGAAAAGTGGATTGGAACACCACCAACGCCTCGGTTTGAGACTTGGAAGGATAGGGAGTCAGAGGTGCTGGGATGGAGCCAGTATCTTAGTGATTTGGGAAGCTGGGCTTCTCAAGCTTCGTTGGAGTTTGGGCATGAGATATCACAAGCGGCACGGTGGCCGACGGTGATTGCCTGGAGCTCAATGACAGTTGCACAGAGAGCACGTTCCATGAGACTGTTGGCAATCTTGAAGTCAACGTTTTCGCAGCATCCCCGTACATGTACACTTGTGAATGCATTTGTTGAAGGAGTATCACTTGTGTCACTTTCGTTTGGGGCTACAGATTCGAGTCAGGAAGGGAACGGTTTTGAACTGTTACGGCAACTCACCATTGAATACAGCTTGAGGACCAGGAATGAGGCTCTGATGTTTCGGACTTCGTTGGCAACCAAGAGCTTCAAGTTGGAGGCGAATGAGACAAGTCCGTCATCCTTGGTTTCCGATGTGATCAGGAAGCTGGACTTGGAAGCTGCTAGATTTCAGAAGTTGTTGTTGACCCTTCCGGCAGGTATCGATGCAGTTGGATTGCAGTTGACGGACGCTGACTTGTTGACAGTGTTGATCAGGTCGTTGCCTGAACAGGTGAAAGCTTTTGTCTTGCACCACAGTGCAGGAGATTCCTATTTGGCATACCGAGAGGCGGCACGGCGTTGGGAGCACAATCAACGTTTGTTTCAGGACCTGTCGCCGAAGGCAGGTAAGGGCGTGTCACAGGTTTCGCACAATGCTGAGTGGTTTTGGCTTGGGGATGATGGCGAAGCTGGTCTAGTCGACGCCGTTGGGAGCCAAGGGAAGTGCAGCAAGTGTGGCAGTAGGAAGCATGAGACAAGCAGTTGCACAGTAGATCTGACTAAGATAAAGTGTTTTCGCTGTGGACAGCATGGTCACGTGGGTTTGAACTGTAGCCAGTTTCCGGGGAGCTCAAACAAAACGAAACGTGGAACAGGTGACGGAAAAGGGTATCTAGGAAACAGTCCTGGAAAGTCGAAAGGAACAGGAAAAGGCAAGTATGGTAAGAAAGGAAAGATGAATGAACTAGTGTATGAAAACGAAACGACGGACAATGACAATGACTGGTGGACTCAATCGGACACAGACGCATGGTGGCATGCGTGGAGCTCTCATGATTGGGACGAACCGGACCCTGATGCGTGGTGGGCGGATGAGAGTCCGACGCAAGGGACGCAAGCCAATGACATGGAGGAGCCAGGTCAAGCGGTTGGAAGCCTAGTGTTGTCACCCTTACTACTAGTGTGTAGTACGGAGCCTAGCTGTGGAGATCTTAGTTTGTCAGATGCTCATGTTTTTCCTGTGACACCTGCCAGCCACGACAGCCTGTCGGTTCCGTGGGAACTGCAGGGACTTATTTGCACGGCGCCCAGACGCATTCGAGTTGTGAAGTGTGCATGTTGGTATGAGCAGTTTGCAAACCAGACCATGTCTTGTGCAAAGAGGTTTGAACAGTTTGTGCCCTGTGTTGAGCCCCTCCTTGCAGAACTCGCCTTGAATGACGACATGAATTGGTGGTTATTAGACTCAGGAGCTAGTGTAACTGTTCTCTCAGAAACGTTTGCCAAGTCGTATGGAGCTCAGACGAAGTCGTTGACGGTAGGAGAACGATTCAGAGCAGCAAATGGCACAAGCGTCACCATGAAAGGTCTGGCAAGTTTGAATGTTGACTTGTTGATGTTTGATGAAACAAACGGAAAGGAACACTGGAAGAGTGCATCTTTGGAAGTGCATGTAGGTTCAACAAGTCATAACATTCTAAGCACAACCATGCTTTGTAGGGCCGGATGGTGTTTTGTGCAAAGACCTGACAACGTTGTGTTAACACATGTTGCTTCAGGTTTTGTGGCAGGTGAAACGGCAACGTATGCAGGATGTCCCTGGGTTCGTCTCTATCCGTCCGTGAGAGGGTTGGAGCAGTTGACAATGACCTCAGTGGCAGATGTTCGTGAAGGTCTAGGCGGGGACCTCAGACCTTTGTCACGAGCCTCAGAAGAAGAATTGCAGAGACATCGATTGCAGGGTCATTTTCCTTTTGACCCGCGGTGCATCGTGTGTGCACAGGGTCGAAGCGTGTTTCAGCATCGGCGGAAGAGTGCGTCAGGGATAGAAGCATCAATTGAAGCAGATTTTGCGTTTCTCTCAAAGACTGGTGAGCTGTGTGAAACGGAAGACGAAGCCACCAGTATCAAGGTTCTTGTTATGTGCGAGCGTCTGTCAGGATGTGTTGCTTATGTCCCAGTGTGGGCAGATGTGGCAAAGGTGCGTTCCAAGATCCTGTTGTGGCTTGAGCATTTTGGACTCACGTCTGAGAACAGCAGTATCATTTTGCACACTGACAGAGAGAAAGCCGTGGCTGAACTTGTTGGCAGGTCCAGCAAGCACTATGCGTTCCAAGTACGTCGAAGTGCACCACAGCAACATCGCTCGACTGGAGGAGCAGAGAGAAACGTGAGACGGTTGAAAGAAGATTTGGGTGTATTGCGCAAGGACATGCAAGCACACAATGTGGATGTACGCTTTTCAGAGCAAGGGTTGGAAGACAGCATGACATACCTCGCGTTGATGCACAACCATTTTGGTAAATCCAAGGAGACAAACATGACGCCTTTAGAAATTGCGTGTAATCGACCGTTGTCAAAACCTGCGTGCGCCATGTTTGGAGCTACTGTGCTGGCGGAAATCCCGGACTCGATCAGGGCGCTAGCACCCAATTGTTCTCGGTCGGTTGAGGCCGCGTTCGTGCATCCAGGCATGGGGACAGGCGCAGTTGTTCAAGGGTTGATTGTTGTGGATGGCAGATCGGAGGTTCACAGGTTTTGTGCAAGGAATGTGCGACCCATTGTTCCTTGTGCATGGTCCTTGGAGCTTGGACAGGGGTTTCTTGGTCATGTGAACGAAGGAGAGTCGGACTTGCGTGTTGATCAGCCGGCACCATTGCGGGTTGATGATAGTGCCCAAGACGCTGAGATGCCTCCAATTCCATTGCCATCACAGTTGTCGCCGCAAGGAGAACGAGAAAGATCATCGAAGAAAGTCACGTTTGAAGGCCATGTTCCAGGACAACCATATGTGAAGACGCCGGGTTGCATTGCGTGTGAATCAGGGATGCATGGGCCAGGAATGAGACATTCGGCGAAGTGTCGAAGGATCAAGGCTGAACAGGAAAGGCAGAAGGAAGCAGAAGACGAGATTCTGCATCACAAAACGACCCCTGGATCGGGGGGCCGTTTTGATGAACCCATGGTTCCACCAGAAGACATGGAAGAGTACACTCCTTCAGAACCCCCAAAGGCAGAAGAGATGGAGATTGAGGGGCAGGAGATGTCTTCGCCACGAGGTGACGTTCAAAAGGGGGTGAAACGTGATGCCGATGTGAGTACAGAAGAGTTGGAGAAGGAGATTCGGTCAGAACCCAAAGATATTGAATATCTTCAGGACTTGCAGTGGTCAGCAACTTCAATGCCGCTTTGCATCACAGCATCACATGCCGACGGATCAGACTTGACCTCCCCAGACTTCTATGTCACTTCCATGAATTCTATCAAATTTGAACCGGGGAAGGAGCATGTGACGACACGAATCCGGATCGGTGGAGGACATGTGTTGGTTTGGAAACCAGACGAGGTGATTGACGACAGTACTCTAGACAACTTGAATGTTGATCAAGGGTATCAAGGCATGCTAGAAGAGGTTAGGAACATGGAGTCATGTCGGGCCGGTCGTCTAGCAGATGGGTTTGAGGTACAGAGTTTGAAGAAACGATATCCACATGCTCGGATCATCCCTTCTCGGTGGGTATCAGCATACAAGTCGGAAGAGCGTGTTCGATGTAGGATAGTGGCTAAAGATCTGCATTCAGGTGTTTCGGCGAGAGCCTTGGGTATTTCTAGTCCCACACCAGCAGCAGAGGCATTGCACTTAGTGTTGACTATATGTGCCAATCGACAGTTTCGACTTCGATCGCTCGACATTTCACATGCATTCATGCACTCCCCTCTCCCTGAGGGATCCATGATTGTCCTGAAGCTTCCTCAGAGTGTGAGCTTGGAGAGTGGTGAGCCAGCGTTTTTGATTTTGGAACGATCGTTGAATGGGTTGAGAGACGCTAGTTTGCATTGGTTGTTGCTGTTGTCATCCACGATCAAGGTTCTTGGCATGACGTCAGATGAGACAGAACCCTGCCTCTATCAAGGGGTTATCAGGGATAAGAAAGGAAGAGAGATCGGATCAAGTGTCCTTTTGGTCTACGTGGATGACATACTTGTTGGAAGTTCGAATCAGGAGACTGAGGAGATGATCACGAAGGCCATAGCAGCAGTTGTTCCAGTGAAGGTCACAGGACAGATTCTTCCTGGAGACGAAGGAGGAGGAGAACTTGACTTTTTGGGTCGAAAGATCTACAAGACTCCCAAGGCTGATCAGTTGGCGATGTATGTCTCTCCTTCTTATCTTGATTCTTCGTTTGCCGAGTATGACATCAAGAAAGGGTCTCAGGCCGCGCCGGATGTGGCAGCTCAGTTGGAGAAGACCGACGAGGCATCAGGTCAGAGGTTATCCCCAGAAGCATACCAACGTTTTAGAAGGTGCCTTGGTCGCTTGCTTTGGCTGTCGCAGTCACGACAGGAAATCAAGTTGTGGTTGTCGCTGATTGGGGTGAAGCAGGCAGATCCAACGCAGTCGACAGAAGCAGCGCTCAGAGCAGTCATGAGGTATCTTTTAGGTCATAGGCAGGTCAGTTTGGTTTTCCCTTCACCGCAGTTTCCCATCGACCATGTTGAGAAGGACTTGTTGGGTATTCACATTCACGGATACTGTGACGCGTCGCACGGACCATATCGATTCAATATGCGGAAGAGCATTTCCGGTGAAGTGTTGACGTTTGAACAAGGTCTCATTAGAACTGCAGCCAAGCAACAGCAACCGGTGGCACTCAGTTCGTGTGAGGCTGAAACGTACGCATTGCAAGCAGCATGTCAAAGTGCAACTTCATTGGCCAAGCTTGTGAAGAGGATCATGGTGGGCCTGGGTGAAGCTTCGGACACAGACCAGGTCATGACAGTGATGTTGACGGATTCGGCATCGGCGCAGCAGCTCATTCAGGGTATTGACATCCCTCGAAGGTCCAGACATATAGAAATACGATTGTCATGGTTACAGAACAAGATTGCAGAGCAGCAGATCAAGCTCAAGTTTGTACCAGGAGTCGCCAACGCAGCAGACATGTACACGAAGTGCTTAAGCACCACACTCATGAGCAAATATGTGTCGTGGTTAGGGTTTGAAGAGGTTTGTGGGCCAACTAGGGATCTACATGTCTTGAATCAGGCAGTAGTTGAAGTTCAAGAGGCGTATCCGTTTGTTTTTGTAGAGATTTGTTGTGAGAAGGGTTCCCAGTTGCAGTTGGCGTGCAAGACCTCCAAGATTCCTTACATTGGCATTGTGTCAGATGCGCAGTCGAAGGCGTTGCAACGACAAGTTGGAGAGCTATTAAGGCAACATCGTGAAGCTGGACGTTGGATTCATGTGCACGCATCCACACCTTGTTCCAGCGGTAGCCCGCTGAAGGGCTTCACAGGTGATCGAGAGCCGACTGCAAGTGACGTTGAGTGGGAATCCATCTTGAAGGCAATTCCCACCATCATGGAAAAGGGAGATTCGCGTAGCTTTGAACTACCATGGCGAAATAACATATGGAAACGAGATTTGACTACAACGGTGTTGCAGCAGTTAGGTTTGAACCAGGTGTGTAAGGTGTACCTGTGTCAAACGGGTGTTGTGAGCAAGAACAACCTACCAGTAGGAAAGGCTTTAGCTTTTGTCTCGACAAGCAAAGGGTTTACAGAATCGTTGCATCGAAGGTTTGGATCGTGTGCATGCGCCCAGCATGCGCCCATGGACGACGTAGATTTCAGCAGAACTGCAGCGTATTCGAGGCAACTTGCAAGAGCCATCCTTCGGGCAGTCACTCAAGCACGGAAGAATCCGTGAGAGGACGTAGGACATGTGTGTGTCACCGACTTAGTGGTTGAGACCATAGCGTATGGAGCCTAGAGTTAGATCGGAGCCTTAGATCGCTGTGGCCTTAGCCTGGAGCTTAGATTTAGTTGTCACGACCTTAGGTATGGCACCTAATAGTTTGCCCAAAGATCGGCATTTTGTGTGGGTGTTTGTGAGCATCATAGAAGCATGCATACCATAGGACATGTATGCACAGGTGCGCGCGCACCGCTGTGAGTGATTTCTTGTGCATGTGCGAATGTACACCAAGAAAAGTTTTTTTGATTGGTTCCAAAGGAGGACCATAAAATGGCAAAAATACACGTGCATTTGGAACGTTTCTTTGGAGTTGTTTTCGTGAAGCGAAACATAGAAATTCGGAGGATCGTTGAACGCAGTTCGTGGAAGGTGAGAGCGTGAGGCGTTCTCGCTCAAGCTTGTGTGAAGTGGGCTTTGGCGAGCGATTTGCTCTCGGCAGTTTCCGGTGGAGGTTCCTTTTGGGGGCTTTGCTGGTTCGGTGTTTTCCTTTTGGTTAAGTTTGCGTGAAACAGCTTAGCCTTAGAATTGTGTGCGAGCCATGGCAAGCCAAGATGCAGCTGGAGCAGCGGAGGACCAGTTCGACTTGGTTGGATTGACAGATGAAGAGCAAGAGCTGCTCACGAAGCTGGTGGCAAAGGCATCCATGAACCATGGAACCATGTCTCAGGGAGCAATGACGGACGCAGCAAAACGCAGAGGTGATGAGATGGATCCACGCCCAAAGACTCGTGGAGCACCCAGCAGCTATGCAGCAGTCGCAGTGCCAGCAGCGCCAGAGCTTGACCGAATTGTCGTGACAGGCTTGCCGGAGGGAGTTCCGGACCTACATACGTGGGGTCTGACTGTGATGACAAGTGGCAAGGTTGCGGCAGAGCGATTGTGCTATGAGGAGCTTCGTGCATCGACAAATTCTGACCATGTGCAGTATTGTCGTTGGTTGATGGCTCGGGCTAACACTATGAAGGGGCAGTTCAAAGATTTCATCTCCTATGTGCAGGCCTATGAGGCACGCCATGGAAAGGCAGATGAACACCAGCTGCCGACCTTTATTCCGGGCACGCAGGATCGGAGGATCTTGAAGAAGAGGGCATGAGCAACGATGCCAAAAGGGGGTGTGGAAATCCAATATGAACCATGTGGCATCCTTGCTGACTGGCATG